GAGAGAGAGAGTTGACAGTAGAATCTGGAGAGTGGGGCCTGACTGGCCCTCGGTACGGACCTGGGAGGCGGTGAGCCTGCTAGAGAGACGACTCCGGACGACGACTGGCATGGACCAGACAAACAGACTGGCACTGGCATCGCGAGAGTCGTCAGGAGTCGTTCGTGGTGACCCCATGGTCACTCCACGGTTCACTGAGACAAGGAGCATTGACGCTGGTTCTCTGGTTATGCGACAATAATTGACAAACGTCGAATATACTTTGGAAGATCTTGGAACTTCCAATTTCGACGAACTCAATCGTTTCTTATCATATCCGATTAGCGATTTCAAGTCAAGTTTGCGAGTTTGTCAAGTTTGTCATTTATCGTGCTTCCGCAGTGATAAAGTGTTTCGAAGTGCTGAGATATCGAAATGTGTGTACTAAGAAAGTTTTAAAAAAACCAAATTCAACAAAAATCGGTAAAATAAAGATACTCGAGGCAGCGAAGTGATTAATTTCTTTTATTTTTAATAGAAATTCAGATTAATAGTTACCGCGGAGGAGATATTGATACCGATACTTCGGTCGTGAGTGAAGAGAGAGAGAGAGAGAGAGGCTATCGCGAGAAAAGGCAAGAAATCATAATTGAAAGTTAGATTTGAAAACTAGAAATGGAGTTAATAAATTCGAGTCTTTAGCAACTGTCTTTAGCAAACTGTAATGTACCGTAAGAACGTGATCAACAGAACGCGTAGGGAATCATCATCAGGGAAGACGCGATGCACGACAAGTTTCTCCTCTCTCTCAGTGAAGTCGTTGAATTCCGGCACAATCGTAGCAGTAGCATAGAATTTTCGATACGTGTCTGTAGGAAAGACGTGCGGGACAATCAACCGAGTTGTTGGCACCAAGATTTTCATGGTACCAACGGGCGAAACGACGGGACGAGTCGCAACACGAGGTCACCAAGCCGTTAAGGACATTCGAGGACGAAGAGCTCCGCCTGTGATTGTGTGCGCGCGCGCGAGCGATGTTCATTCCTGACAACGAAACCGCAACGCGCGCAATTGTCGCCGTGCCGGGCGTCGTTGATCCAGATCACCGTTCACCAGGATTCGCATCGATCGAGATCACCGTTATTCAAGAATCCCGATCGTTGTCTCGCGGTGATAATCGGGATAATCTTTAGATTTTCAACCGCTTAGGCCATGAGTTCTTGAACATCAAGCTACGTAGTTCGTAGTAGCAGCTCGGACAACTTTTAATCTCGAATCATCTATTCAAGATACTCGATCTATGATCTATTAAGTCGTTCCAGAAGTCGTTTTTGTTGTATATATTCGCCGCGATATTTGCTGCAAAGCGGAAGAACTGAAGAATCACACAAGAATTAAATGTAAGAAGCGAACAATCAAGGAACTTCTTTCTTTCACAGATTAGGTAAATGAACAGACGAAAGTGAAGAGAAGAAAAAAAAAAGAATTTATAAGACAGGGAGGAGGAGAAAAATTGAAGAATTCTGTTCAGCACGAACTGAAGTTTCTTGCAGAGCGAAAAAGAAAAGTCAAAAGGAAGAAGAGCAAGGAATCAAAGAAGAAAATAAGAAAAGGACATTGAAATTAAAAAAAAACAATTTGTCTCTCTCTCTCTCTCTTTGATATCATCATGTCAGCCCGAAAGATTGGATGGCTGATGCTTATAGCCATCCTCGGTGGTCCTATCAGTAACGCCGAAAGGCTAAGCGGTTTATATGTAGACAACGGTTTTGACCAGACGGTAATCCATCGAGTGATCAACAATCGTGAGAAACGCGAAGTGGAGTATGAAATCTTGGATTTGTTGGGACTCCCTGATCGTCCGCGAAACACCATCCACAGGCCCCCTCAAGTCAAGAGGTCGGCGCCCAAGTTTCTGTTGGACATCTACAAGAATACCCTTGACGGGGGGGACAAGGAAGAGAAATCAGCGATGCGTTATCACAAGGCCGGAGAATTTGATCTCAGCGGGCAGGATCTGAAAGCGATCGATCAAAGCGATGTCATCATAACTTTCGCAGCCCACAGTGAGTTCAAATCGAATCAATTGAGAGGTGTTTTACGAATAGTAATGCAGGATAATTACTTGATAATTCATCGATCGAATTTGAAACTGATTTCTTCGTAGAGTCCAACAATTAATAGCTTTTTAATTGTACGCAGGTAAAAGAATTAATTGTATACGCTTTTCATAGAAATTAGATTTTGAAAATAAGCAATAATTTGATCTTAGTTAAATTTTTATCTATTATTACTTGCTTTGAGATATGTA